TTTATTATAATCCAATTAAACCCCTTTCTTCTATGGCTAGTGCTTTAAAAGAAATATTTGCCTAACTGAAGGACACATATTTTCTCTAAAATACTTATTTTCCTCTTGCATCTAGATCTGCCCTCTACCTGGAACTGATTTTTGTATGGTATCAAATAAAGGTCAACACATTTTTTCCCCACATGGATGTCCAGTTAAGCTGACATTTACTAAATAGAAAATCCTGTCTCCACTGAACTACAATGTTGCCTTGGTCATAAATCAGAATACTTTGTATGTGTGGCTGTTTTTGGATGCTCTTTTCCATTGGTCAATTTGACTACTCCTGTACCAATATCCCATTATTTTAATTACTATAACTTTATGATAGGTCTTGGTATCTGATAGGATAAAACCTTCCAGCTTTATTTTCTTTCAAAATTGATTTGGCTATTCTTGGTCAGTTGTATTTCTGAACGAATTTTAGAATCAGCCAGTCACCTTCATTAAGGGAAAAAAAAAACACACCTACTGAGATTTTGATTGGGTTTGCATAGAATATACGTATTAATCTGAGGCGACCCACTATCTTTACAATAATGATCTTCAAACCCAAGAATATTTTTATTGCTTGCCTTCTAAATGAGTCAGGCAGCTTCCCATTTCTTCCTGTATCCTAAGATAGGTGAGGTACAAATACCCAGCAAAGGACTTACATCCCCAGCATATGTACAATATAGAACTCCTTCAAATCAGTAAGAAAAAGAGATAATCCAATAGAAAAATGTGCAAAAAAACCCCCTTGAATTGGTTTCACAAATGGATATAGAATGGGTTCATAAAAACACAAAAAGACTCAATTCCCTTATCAGGGAAATGCATATTAAAGCCAAGAGGAGATATTGTTGATCCACTTTAATAACATGGCTATTATTTAACAGGAAAGAAGGAGAGGGAAGACCAGATAGATGCATGTCCAATAAGGTCTGAGTGATGTGGGAAGGTGTTTGTCTGTCAATCACACCTGGAAAGGAGTCAGTGGCTAGGATGGGAGTGGCCACTGCAAGTGCACAAAATCTAAATATATAAACTTCTAGAGCAGCAGTTCTCAACCTGTGGGTCTTGATCCCTTTGGCAGTCGAACGACCCTTTCACAGGGGTTGCCTAAGACCATCCTGCATATCAGATATTTACATTACGATTCATAACAGTAGCAACATTAGTTATGAAATAGCAACGAAAATAATTTTATGGTTGGGTCACAACATGAGGAACTGTATTTAAAAGGTCAGAAGGTTGAGAACCACTGTTCTAGACAAAGAAGCCACTCTTCTTCTCTTGGCTCCAGGGTGCTGGGCTCCTGTGACTCCTGTTACCGGGGCATGCTCTTCCGCACCTACATGGCTTGACGCAGGGCCATGCTGGACTCCACACATGGACTAATGAACTTGAATTAACTTAGATAATGAATTACACTGGGCTGCAACATGGAACAGAAGCTCTGGACACTGACCTTGCTTCTGGCTCTGCTGAACTCACAGCTGCACCTTTTCCAGGACTAGCTTAAGGGGCAGGGGACTTTGGAACTCAAGAAATATAACTTCACCCAAATAAAGCCTTTTTCCATCCTCCCATGGGGGCTTCTAAAAATTCTTATTTCAGCAGCATCCCAAGAACCTTCACCTCCCTCCCAAGAGTGATAGAAGAATTCGATTCTCTGGTAACACCACCAGAATGATAAAAAGAAAGACTGAAATTAGCAAGTGTTGGTGAGAATGTAGAGCAACTGGACCGCTCAAGCACTGCTGGTAGTAGTATAAATTGGTAGAGCCACACTGGAATAATGTTTGGCAGTATCTACAAAAGGTGAACATATGCATTTCCTAGGACTCAGCAATTCCACTATATACCCAACAGAAATATGTTGAACAAAATACATATATTAAAAGATTCACAGTAGCTCTACTCATAAAAATCTCAAACTGGAAATTACCCAAAGACCATCAATAGTAGAATGGATTTAAAAATTTTTCATGTATTCACATGAAATACTATGGAGAAATAAAAAAAATGCTCACACGACAATATACATGAATCTAACAAGTAAACAAAGCCAGAGACCAAAAATAAGTCAGACAAAAAAGAGCATATACAAATGGAATTGCATAGTGTGTACACTATAAAAATGGGCAAAACTAATCTAAGTTAGTTATTGTAAGTCTGAATGGTGGTTATCCCTGGGGTGGGAAGAAGTGACTGAAAGAGCAAGAGAGAGCTTCTGGTATACTGGTGATGTTGTTTCTTGATCTAGGTGCTTGTTTTGGGGTGTGTTCATGTGAAAATTCAGCAACATTTATGATTTGTGGACTTTCCTCTGAATATTATGCTACAATAAAAGTTAATGCATATAACATAAAGCAAATAAATCAAATAACAAGCTGGAAAACATTTTCTAGAAGTAACAGGAAAAACTCATGCAAGTCAATTTTTAAGAAGCTAGCATCCAACTGGAAAATGGGTCTGCATACAAAAAGAAAGGTTCAAGCAAAGAGAGAAAAATGGCTTCAATAAATGCACAAAATGTAAATTAGAATAATGGAGTGCTATTTTTTCCTAGCAAATTAGCAAAGATTAAAAAAAAACACACCAATAAGGCTGTTACTGAGGATTTGTGTGAAACTACTAATATTCTTACTCTTAATGGAAACTTAAATTGGTATAACCTTTCTTCATTAAGTCTTTAAAAATTACTCTTTTCACCTACTAGTTTCCCTTCTAGTAATTATTATAAGGAAAATTCAGAGTTACAATTAAAGATAGATTTATGTCAGTGTTGATTACAATGGTGAGTATTTTGAAACAATATAATTATCCCACAATGGGAAAATTGCTACATTATGAAACATACGTATGATGGGATAATGTTTTCAAAGAGTAATGAATAGGAAAAGACTCATGATAAATTTAAATGAAAAAAAAATACATACAAAATTCTATGTGGTATGATATCTTTTGTGTTAAAAAATATCACAGACTTAAACATACACTTGCATGGAAAAAAGTCTGTAACACATACTGGAGTGTGTTAATAATGACCATCTTTGGATGGTAGGATAATGGATGATTTTAATTTTGTGGCTTATTTGCTACAATGAAATGTTCCTTGAACATTTATTATTATTACATTCAGAAATCTAAGAAAATAATAGGGTAAACAAATAACACCCACCCAGTTTCCTTAATTCTAAGCAACCTAGATTTTGATCTCTCCTTTAGCTCTCGCATTTAATTTGTAATTTTATCTTAGAAGTATCTGTCCAAGCCATCGTAACATTTTATTACTTCTTCTTTCATTTCCAAAATGCAGGCACTAGTCTTCCCTAGAGAGCACTTCGAATGCAGGTCCTTCACTTTGGTAAAATAGCCCTATCCTCCCCTACTTCTCCATTCTAGCCAGATCAGAGCACTTTCTACAGTGCCCCTCCCACACTCCAGCCCCTGAAAGAGCCACACCAAGTACTGTCACACCTCCCAACCTTGGCGTACTCTGCTCTCTCCTCTCCCCCTGCGATGCATTCTCTCCTTGTCCTTCTAATCCAATTCATCGTTCAAGATTCACCTCTGATACCATTCACTGCCCGTGGGTAGCTCCTCTGAGGTTACAAGAACAGATGATGGTTTCCCAATCAATCCCCCAACGACAGTTTGTACATATTTCAATATTTATCATTCTATATTGCTTAGTGCCTAGCTCTCCCATTGTGCAGAACGGGCCATATCTTTTTGAAATTTTTCTTATAATCTAGCTGAATGTGCGAACGCAAAACATACATCTATGCAGTGCATCTGTACAGGGGTGGTGGGTTTGCACCTGTGGGTGATAAATAAATGGCAACAAAAAGACTTGCCTGTGGGGGTGTGTGTGTGTGTGTGTGCATGTGGTTTTTTTCACCATTCAAGATGGCAGAGAACGTCTTAAAATAGTCCCACACAAAAGCACTCACACCGGAGCCTTAAGTCAGAACTGGCTACACTTGGCGCAACAGCAAAGGACAAAAGAACTGAACCTAAATCTCAGATGCCCGGCCCTCGTCACCCGCGGTGGGTCCCACACATATTTTAAACGTTGCCACGAAACTGGCACCTGCTGCCTTCACTCCGAGGGCCACGCCTCGACCAGGAACAGGGACCTAAGGCACTTCTGGACAATGACCCCCCCCAAATCAAGGACGTAAAACAATGACCCCCCAAACCAAGGACGTAAAACTGGGAGGCTAAGTTGTACTGGTGCGTTTCCAAAAAGGCACGATTGGGCCCCGCCCCAGCCAGGGGCAGTCCCACTGAGGCGTAGCCGTCCTGGGGCGAGGAACAGGCAGGGCTCCCATCCACCCGCCCGACTGGGAATTCCGGGCGGGCCTGAGGCTGAGGGCGTCTCGGGCTACACCTGTCAGGCAGCAGCCAACTCTAGGCCCAGAAATCGCCGAGATTTGGTGACCGAGGCCGGCAAGACCGTCACCCGATCCCTCACCCCGCGATCGGTCCCTCGCCCTGCCTCCTCGCCTTCGCCCTCGTTCTTCTCAAACAAAGGCAATCCACACCCACCGCCATTTTCTCCTTACCTCAAAAACCACCTCTTCGTCAAACTCCGGTGTCATCCTTCTCCGCCATGCCACCCGCCTCAGCACGATGGGAAATGAAGGCGGGGGAGCTGGCGGCACCCAGGCAGCCGCTTCTCCCGTCCCGTGTGTCCAGAAAACTACAACTCCCAGCATGCCGCTCAGCTCACGCCCCCTTTTTCAGGCCCACTTATTGGAGCAGAAGATGATCCTGTGGACGGGAGAGGCAGGAGCAAAAGGAAGCTCGAGCCCTCTGATTGGAGGAGGCTGGGGCTTTTGTCCGCCTTTTACGGCTGCGGCTGGCAGGGGGCGCCAAGAGCACGGATTTTTTTTTTTTTTTTTTTTTTTTTTTTTTTTTTAAAGCTGGAGACGGGCACGCGCCGGCAGAGGCGCGGTGAGCACTGCTCGTGCCCGCAGCTTGTCGCTCGCGCCCGGGAGCGCCGCCGGGTCCCTGGAGTCCGCCGCATCCTTTGTGCGGACCCTGGAGTTTCGCTGCGGAGCAGCAGGACGAAATGTGGACGCCGCGGGAGCTTTATTTCCCTGCCTAAATTCGTGAAACAATGGACGGTTAGGGGAGCATGGATTGAGGGGGAGGCGAGCGGGGAAGCGAGCCGCCTGGGGAATCATGACTTCTGCCGCCGGTAAGTGACGGCGCTCGCGCTGCCCCTGGAAAGTTTGTAGGGAGCGCTGCTAGTCGGGTTCTGGAGCAGCTTTCTCCTTTGGGGTAGGTTAGTGGTGTTCCCTTTACACTTTTGCCGGGGACGGTGGCAAGTGTGGAGCAGACGGCGTTTGCTGCCCTATTTCCTCCTCCCTTCCTGCCCAGAGAGGGTGTTTGGAAATCGTGTCTCCCTTGGGACCTGCCTTTAAAAGGAGACCGGTGTTGGGGGCTCTGCGCCAGGTGAAACGCGAAATGAAAAAAGGACCGTTTGCTTGTCTCCGAAACTTTGAGCGACTTTGCCTTTGCGTGTGAAAATAGTTTAGATGACCATGTTAAGAAATCAGTTATTCTAAGAAAGGGCAGTGTTCCCAGAGTGAGGAACTCGGCGACGGTGCTGAGTCGCTTTCAACCTGGTATCGACTGGAAACCCTGACGCTTATTACTCAGTAGATAAAGAGGTGGTTTATCCTGAAAAAAGGATAACCAACAAGTTTTCCCCATCACCCGAGAAGTAGAGGAATAGAAGTGCCCATGGCAATTTTTTGCTCATCTTCACCCAATTTTTTTTAATGGATTTTCTTTTCTATTTCTACCTGGTTAGTATAAACACAGCCTGATTTTCCGTCTGCCTCCTATAGTTCTTTCCCTTCATCCAAACGACAAACTATTTACCTTTGGATTTTGAGCAATTCTGCACATATTTCTAAACATTTTTAAGGAACAGTTCATATATTCCATGATAATTACTAAAGTGGTTTTAGATCCAATTGATAAGAATATAGGTTACTTTTTAAACCACAATTTTTAATGTATTCAGTATTAAGGGTTTTTTTTTCTTTGTTTCGTCCACGTTGAAAGAAACACACTTTTATTAGAAATTTTATAGTAAAGTAGTGTAAAGTTTTCCCTCGAAGTGACTTCTAGAATCACTTTGCTTTTCTTGGCATTTGTTTTAAATTCCTGCAACGTGAAACTGTCAAACAGCACTCTAAATGTTCTAAGTTATCTTATTTCTAAAGCCTAGATTTATTGAAGTGTTGCACTGCTAGGTGTAAAAAGATTACAGGTAACTAGGCAAGAAGGTAGCCAATAGTAGTAAGAAAGCAAAGAGTGAAGTAGTATTCCTGAAGAAATTGTGGATCTTTCCTTTCTGATGTTATATGTATGTGTAGGAGATATGTTGTCATATCATGTTCTTTATAAACTCTTTTCCTTACCACAGTGTGGCTTTCTACTTGAGGTGAATTATTTTCATCCTAAATTTCTGTGCCTCACCTTTGTTCAGTTTTCCTTTATTACTGAGCTCTTCTAATTAATTTAAAGTGGTTGGATTTAAACCCTTCCAGCTAATTTTAGCTCTCCCCTCTTTTGGAGTATCAAGCACATTTAAAATATTTATACCTTATATGCATCAGTTTTCAATCCCAGTTCTAACAGTTTATAATGAAGAGATACAGAAGCATTTAATATGACATTTAAATATGTAAACCTGATCTAAGGCTCAGTCTGGAAGTTTATGATTCTTTAATTTGCATTACCCTAGAATAATGCAAGCTATTTTTATATTTTATCAACTTTACAATTAAAGAAATCCACAGACATTTTTGTGGTGTTTTAAAAGAGGGACACTTCCTGTGTTTAGCTGAGTTAGTTTTTAGCATGGTTTGCTGAGAAGCATTAGCTACTTTTTTGTCCACGCATCTGTTAAGATTTATTTTAATTCTTTCACATGTCTAAATGGAGGATATGGAAGAGAACTGGGTTTTATTTTCATCCTATTCTTATAAGATTATCTGTTCATCATTTTTACAAGCTGTTTATGCTTTTTGGAACAATAGTCAATTTAATTAAAAGTTTAGGAAAGTTATTTCCAATTGGGGAAGGGAATGTTTGTTTATATCGAAGCTAATCTGCGGTATTTGGCATGGTTAGCTTAATTTAAGAAAATAAGAGAACTGTTGTAGAACATCTATGTTTTCTGTATCCTGAAGAAGAGCTTGCTTTGTTTTTCTGAAACATCTGTGAAAGAGTAGGCCCATAGTAAGATTTTAGAATTATTCTAATCAATGTATTTAAAAGGAGAGGTAATTACAGGTATGTGTTTTCTATTTTTTTTTTTTTAACTTGTACAGGTCACTGTCTCATTAATGCTTGTGCTTTCCTTTACGGCTGGTTTGAAAGCTAAGAAAGTGTGCACGTGAGCCGCAGACATCTGTGTGTAATAGATGACAGTATGTTTGTAATAGTGACATGGTACAAGTGCTTTACAGTCTTACCTTATTTTTTCCTGGAGCCAAACAGCTGTATAAATAAAAGATTTGCTGCTTTACTCTGAAAGGCTTTGGGTCTGACTGTTGATACAGTATTAAGATGCAAAGGTGCTGGATCCATTTCCAAAGATCATGTACTTACTTCAAGAATTTGACATTGCAGCAGACCACAATACAATGGCTTGTTATTTTTTTTTTGAGTTGTGTTTCTTTCATAATAGAGCCATGAAAAAAAGAAATGATAGTAATAATGAAGGATTCTAGATATTTCTGTACCAGTGACTTAGTTGAACACTTGTTCCTACTAATAACTAAGAACTTATTCAACAATCCTATTGAAGTTGATTCCTGCTACTTTTCAAAATATTATTCTACATTAAAATGGATATGGACTTTAAAAAAAAGAAATTTCCTGTTACTGAGAAATATTAAAGAGTATGTGTATGTGGCAGGTCTGACTATTCCTAGGGCCCTATTTTCACCATTGGGGACATTGCAGTGAGACAAAGTGCCTGCCCTTTTGGAGCTTGCTTTCTAGTGGTGAAAAACAAAGTTATACTGATGAAAAATCATACAGGACAAAGGGGCTGGAGAAAATATAGGTTCTCCTGAAGCAAGTATCTCAGAAGTTATCATCTCAGAATCATATGGGCTTAACAGTTCTGTCTGACTCTTTATTTACAAGTAAGGAAACTGAGGCAGCCAGATCTGCAGAAAGGCAAGTACAGTGGGGCCTTGACTTACGAGTGTAATTCGTTCCGAGACCGAGCTCGTTAACTCAAATTACTCTATCAACTCAGTGCAGAGATACAGCTGGTATCTCAAAAAACTCGTTAGTCAGGACACTCGTAAGTCAAGGCCCCACTGTAATTAGGTTAACCAGCTCCCCACATTGTATTATTGACTTCCTCTAAAGTCTAATACATGGTTAACACTGGTGAGCCAGATTTCACAGCTGTTTACTTAATTCAATGAGTATGCATTGAGGGCATTAGGTACATAATGCTGGGCTACTTTTGTTGGCAATCAACCACAGCTCATATGTAAGTAATTTAATTTCTAGGACACTAAAGAGAACAGAGATTAAGTCTGTTGGAAGCAGACTCATATAGAAGATACATTTAAAGAAAAGAGTAAAATTGCTACCAGAGATTAAAAAACAATTTAATTAGCCTGGCTGGAGTGGCTCAGTTGGTTGAGCATCGTCCTGTGCGCCGAAAGATGTTAGATTAGATATCCTGTCAGGTCACATGGCTGGAGTGGCTCAGTTGGTTCTGGATCAGGGCACTTGTGGAGGGGCACCCGATCAATGTTTCTCTCTTCCTCTCACTCACCCTCCCCTCCCCTCCCCTCCCCTCTCCTCCCTTCCCCTCCCCTCCCCTCCCCTCTCCTCCCTTCCCCTCCCCTCCCCTCCCCTCTCCTCCCTTCCCCTCCCCTCCCCTCTCCTCCCCTCCCCTTCCCTCCCCTCTTTGCTATCTTTATCATTTTTAAGTGTACAATTCAGTAGTGTTAATTAAGTACATTCACATTGCTGGGCAGTCAATCTCCAGAACCCTTTTCATCTTGCAAAATGGATTTTTTTTTCCCATTCCTTCAGAAATCCCAGAGGTAGAATGCTTTAAGAATGGTTACAGAAATGAAATCAACATGACGACCTGTCAGTTTTCATTAACTTGAGTAAGATGAGAGGTTGGGAAGAGGCCTAGGGTATTCATGCTTTCTTTTAAGAACTGACTTAATAGACCAAGAGTTGAATTTGAGAGATCATTATACCAAGCTTTAGCATTAGGCTTTGCAGGGCTTTCCAATTTTTTTCTTCCTATAAAACAAACAAAACAAAAAACTAATAACATGCTTATTGGATAGATAACTGAAAATGTAAAAAGCTTTGAGAATTTGTATTAAGTTATTTTGAAAATATTTCATTATTTTCTTTATTTGTCACAACATTATATTGAGTGAGAAAGTATCTGTTATCTGGTGATCTTGATTGAACACATAATATTAGAGGTTTGGGAAATTCTTCCTTGGTTGATAAAAGGAACTCTTTTTAATTTTTTTAAAACTCAGTTCCATGTAGTATCTTCCCGAGCATTGTGACTAATTTCCTTTGTTGAAAAGAAATTCATCACCATATGAAGTATCTAAGCCTCTGTGTATTCAAGTAATTAAACAATGTCCAGTAGATATTGTGAAAGCTTTTTTTGAAAGTTTTTTTTTTTTAGTAAATCACGTTTTTATTAAGCATTAGATGATATTGGAGAAACAAACATAAATATATGAAATGTAAGAAAATATTTTATCTCAGGATTTCATTGAGGAAGTATGACTATGTGATAAATGACAGTATAGGTGGAAAAACTTGAACTTAAAAAACCAAATGTTCAGGCTCTCTATATCTCATTTTATCGGTCTTTTGTGTGAAGCTTTTATTAGGTTTCTAGGCTAAGAGCAGATCTGTAGAAATCTAACTCAGTATAATAGGTGCTCCCTCAGTACTTTTTATATAATGACTAGGAAGACTAGACATTGTGGTCATCTTTTAAATGCACTAACGAAGGGTACACAGCATAATCACCTGTGGATCCTAAGAAAAAATATGTCCATGGGATACATATGTCCAGGCTTAATCCCCAGAAACTAGTTGATTAGACCTGGGGTTGAGCTCCATGAAGGATTAGAATGAAAATTCCCCATTGACAACCCCTGCACAGGGAAATATTAGTTTTATTATGAGCCTCAACTAATACAGAAGAATTACTTTTTAGTTTTAACTTTGAAAAATTTCTGATTTCTGTATTTCATTTTAAGATTGTTTTGGGGTTTTAGTGATATAGGTTATTGATAAAGGCATTTACACATCTCTATTGTACATCTTTGAGGTAGAAGAATATTGCTTATTCATATGAGAAGCTTGAAGAGTTGTATCCTTGGTCCAAATAACACCATCCTGATTGGTCAGAATGGAGCCACTCTGATTAGTTGGTGAAGATGAAAATCAGAATATAGTTGCACAGCTCTGATTGGATGGAGAACGTTTTAATCCTATTGGTTGAAATAGGATTCCCAGAATTCCTTTATAAGGGCTGGCTCAGCCAGCATGCAGACAAATCAGTGTAGGCTTCTTCGTGAAGTGCAGCAGCTGTGCAAGAGGACCCTGTTTAGCAACTGCTGCTTGGCTCTGTTTTTAAATTTCAGCCCAATTAGCCATCAGGATCCCTTCTTAAATATCTCTATTCTCAGGCTCAACATATTAAATTTGACTGTAGCTGCCTGATTGATTGATCTTCAGGATTGCTGTAACCAGTCATATTACCTCAAGCATTGGGTTATGTTCTTATATCAACACATTGCCTCCAACATATGGCATTATCTAGCTTTCTAACTCCACCAGTCTAATATGTATAAAGTGAGATCTCATTATTGCTTTAATTTATATTTTCTTCAATTATTAATGCTTTCAAACATCTCTTCAAAGTACTTGTTAGCTTAAGAGTTTTCTCATCTATAAGTTACTAGTCGTATCCTTCAACCATTTTGCACTGGGTTGACAGTTTCTCCTGGGTAATGTGCAGAAATTCCTTATATATTCTAGAAAGGGTAATCCCTGGTTGTTTCAGATATTGCAAGTATCTTGTGTTCTATTGTTTTAGTGACTTTGTTCATGGTTCCTTTGAACAGAAATCTTTTATTTCAATATAATTAAATTAATATACTTTATTTCAATATAATTAAATTAGTATACTTTTTGGTTGCCATAAAAAAAAAAAAGAGTTGTGTCCTACAAATAACAGGCAAATTCAACTCTTAGCACTTAGCAAATGAACTGAAGTACTTTCTCCTATTACTTGGGACCCAAGGAGAAGCCATTTATTTCACTTAGTGTGGTCTGAACTTATGGTTATCTGTTCCAAAGTTAGAAGAAAAACCATATTAAGAAATGTATAGTATACCCAAAGTTATGTACTCTAGAACTGAGACAATTTTAAGGCTAATACTGACTCTATACAACCTATATATATAAAAGCCTAAGTGACCGAACGACTGGTTGACTGGTTGGACGCTCAATGCACAGGATCGGTCTCCCTCCTGTCTGGATGGGGCCTGATGGGATTGCGCTCCTCCTGTCTGGATTGGGCCACCGGGGATCAGGCTGAAACCGGTAGTCCGACATCCCCTGAGAGGTCCCGGATTGTGAGAGGGCGTAGGCCAGGCTGAGAATCCGTGCACTGGGCCCCTAGTGTAACATAATCTACCTAGTAAAATGCAGGTGCACCTTATTGTCAAAAATAAAAGTTATCAAATGTAACCATTTATCATCTCCTGCCTTTTTTTTAATCATGTTATTATTTTTTTCTTTCTAGAGATTAAGAAGCCACCACTGGCCCCCAAACCAAAGTTTGTGGCAAATAATAAGTCAGTACCACCTCCTATTGCACCCAAACCTGATATTGTGATTTCTAGTGTTCCACAGTCAACAAAGAAAACCAAACCAGCAATAGCCCCGAAACCAAAAGTTCTGAAAAGCTCACCTGTTTGTGACATCAGGCAGTCACCATCAAGGAAAACCATCGTGAATCTGGAAGAACATAAACAGGAATTACCTGAAAGTGCTGACAGCTCTTCTTGCAAAAAGGTAGGGCATCAGAGCTGTGGTTATATTTTACCAATGTGTTCCTGCAGTTAGTGTATCCATAAGCTTGGGAATAGAGAGAATTTGTGTGCAAAGCAACTTGTCTTAGAGTCACTAGAAATGCCTGAAAATTTAGAAAATAGTAAAATTGATGAGTTCTCTTCAGCTATAAAAGCAATGAGTAGAAATGATTTTAATGGTGAAATGGTCAAGAGCCAGAGTACAGTTATTTTTTAAAGGTAAGCATCCTAGAAGAGAAGTTTAAAGATGTTTTAACGAACATCACCCTTTATTTCCCCACAGAAGCACACTTCCACAGACAACTCAGAAACGAATGAGGGCTGTAACTCCAACGGACAGTTCAGAATTGAATTTTCAGACTTGACACCTTCCCAGTCCAGCTTTGAAAAGCTTCCTGATCACTACTGCCTCCTACAACTTCCTACCGATGAACTTCAAAATATTGAAACTTGTCAGGATGACAGTGAAAAAAGCCATATTTGCTTTCATTCATCTGAACAAGAAGCTCTGGCACATGGTAAAAAGAGTACTTTTTTATCTTCAGATGGAGTTAGTAAGAACTCAAAAGTCAAAGACCTTGGTCCCTTAGAAGTTCACTTAGTATCATGTACTTCAAAATTTCCAACTCCCAAGCCCAGAAAGACACGTGCCACACGGCTGTTACGTCAAGAGCACATAGATACTCCTAGTGAAAGTACTGAAAAACCAGAGAATTTAGACAGTAACTCTTCTTGTCTTTTTGAAGATAGTTTGAAAAACAATGAAATCATTTATCAGAATGTTTTGTATAACCAGGAACAGGTGAACAAAGTGAAACCAGGAAAGAAAAGTGAATTGAATGTGGACTCCAACAGTGACAGACAAAACTTAGTTGATTCCCAGAAAGCCATGTGTCATGAAACATCTTCCTCTGAAGAAATGACACCTTCTTTGGATACAGATTCTAATTTGAGTTCCGACAGCAAGACAGTAGATGGTTCTAGTATGTCACCTGCTATGGACAAACGGACCAGTTTTATAAGATGCAGTACTGTATCTATGAGCCTGCCTAAGCAGCTGAAATTAGCTTGCAACAAACGTTTACCTATGGCCTGTAACTTGGGAGGGGCTGTCCCTCAAATGCAAAAGGAATCTACAATGAAAGATGTAAGTTCCTCAAAAATTGTACCCAAAAAACCTCAAAGACACAGCTTGCCTGCTGCAGGAATGCTTAAAAAGGCTGCCTCAGAGGAGCTTATGGAGAAAAGTTCATATTCCTCAAATGAAGAAAAAAAGGACCTAGAAAGAAATCACCTTCAACAATTGTGTGCCCAAAACCATGGTACGTCGTCCTCCTTTGAGATGTCCAAAAGGACTTTAGAAAAGCCAGTGTGGAAATTACCTCATCCTATTTTACCCTTTAAAGGGAACCCAGAATCCTTAAAGTCTATCACCACATCCTCAAATAGTGAGGCTTCAAATGCCCTGACCAAGCCTAGAGCAAAATCACTGTCTGCTGTGGATATGGATAGGTGCACTAAGCCTTGCAAAGATTCTCAAAGGAAACCCTCTTTAAAGAAGTTGCTCAATATGAAGCTGTCCATCTGTTTCATGAAGAGTGACTTCCAGAAATTTTGGTCCAAGAGTAGCCAACTTGAAGGCACAATCGCTGGCAGACTCTCAGGTGAGGAGGGAAAAGAGATTGAAAGTGATTGGCATGGCGTATTAGTAGAAGATAAGAGAAATAAACCCATCAAGTCATATTCTGCAGATAACTACAGTCTGGAATCTCAAAAGAAGAGGAAGAAGTCTCGGGGCCAGAGCAGTGCAACTAATGGACCAAGAGCTGAGTCTTTGGATGACCAAATGCTCTCTAGGGAGGCAACATCTCAGGCGCCTTGTAAATCTGTTACAAGTGACTATGCACCAGATTATGAAAATGTACGCCATTATGAGGAAATACCTGAGTATGAGAACTTTCCACTTGCTATGGCTGTCGGGAAAACTCTAGAGTTGGAAAGGCAGAATCCCAGCAGCATGGAGGACACTGATGCAAATGTGTATGAGATAGAAGACCTGTATGAAGCTTCAGATGGCCAGCTGCAACTTGAACCTATACAGCAGCATTCCAGGTAACACTTAGGTCCCAGACAGACACTGTACTTTTATGTGCATCACTGAAATTAATTTTCAAAACCCTGTCAGGTAAAATCTCACACATGGGGGAAAAAAAATCACTTGGTGATAAAGTGGGTTAGTTAAGTGTATATTAAATTATTTCAAAGAGCAGTCTCCTTTTATCATACAGTCAGATTGAGTATTTGCAATGCAAGTGTGAAGTAGTTACCCTATCTCAGTTGCTTTTTCAAAGAATTTGAACCAGTAATAGTATAGGTATGAAAGACCTGGACCAGAGAGGTCCCAGGGCCTCAAAAGCATCAACTTGGAAGTTATAGCTGGAACTTAGGGGAGGAAATTGGCCGATTTAGTGAGCTTTATTTGCTAGGTGTAGGAAATCTGAAGTTATTAAAATTCATGCATTTACCTATGGTGCCCTTGTCAGGTGAAACTTCTACATTTGCAAAAATTACTACTCTTTGAGGATTATTTATTTTACTTGTTGAAGGCTAATTACTAACTTCAGATGGATATAGGAAAAATGCAGGAAACACTTTTGTATAAGCACATTCTACCCATGGTATACCCATTCCATTCGTCTTCTTGAAACCATGCCCATCTTTGATGGTCTAGCTCAGCAATGATTGGCTTCAGGAAGCGTGTACCGTTACCTAGTGGGAAATGTTTACTTCCTATTCTGACCTCCCAGTTATGCTCTGCTATCCTTACGGCATTTCTCTCAATCTGTCTTATGGTATGGTTATTTATTGGTATGTCTGATGTTCTGTATATTTGGTTTTAAGCACCATGAAGAGGTCTTTTTGTCCTGCATGAGGCCAAGAAAGGGGCTTAATAGAGGTCAGTAGATGTTAGTTAGGTACATGAGAGAACGAATGAAAAAGAGGTAAAGGAAGCAACCATTGCAGCTGCTTCCTTTCTCCACTGTCTCAAAGGGAGACTCTGCCTTGTATTTAAAGTGTTGGTTTTGTATCTAACCTTTTAGAAGTCTTCATGTTTTTCTTTGGTCACTAACTTCAAGCCTCTGAATACTCAGGTCTTAAAATGGGACTTTTGTAGAAATATTAACATATGGCATATAGGGCTAAAAACATGATGATTGGATGAATTGAATAAATAAAATGATCTAATGAAATCTTAGTACACCAAGTAAAATAAATTGTTCTTTTAGATATTCTCCTAGCATTTTTCTTTACTCATAATCCTTTCTGCCCTTCCTCCTTTGATCCATAAAAGATAATTTACCTCCCTTGCCTAACTTTTCTCATAGCTGACTTGATTGTGAATATTAGTATCCAGGCAAAAGCCTCTTCCTTGGTGTAAATATTTCCATGGACAATTGTAGTTAAGTATCCAACTTAAAAAAAACCCACCACATCTAACTTTTCATGCCTGCTCTTCAGGGAACAATTTTGTTGGTATTCTCTTCCTTTTAACATGCTATTGTGTAGTGTGTGTGTGTGTGTGTGTGTAAGTATGTGTGAGTGTCTGTGAGAAAGAGGGATGAATTTGGCTTCTTCATGATATACTACTATTCTTAGCTAAAATGAAGTTTTTTCTTGAAATTGGAGATTTGGCTCTTGGTGTAAGTTTCCTGTTGGCTCTCATGCTTAAATCCTGAGAGTTTGTCATTTTCTCTAACACAGGCTGTAAATTCTGAAACTTGTTCTTTTTATTTAAAAAAAAATTGATTTATTGATTTGAGAGAGAGAGTGGAACATCGATTTGTTGTTCCACTTATTCATGCATTCATTGTTTGATACTTGTTATGTGCCCTGACTGGAGATTAAACCTGCAACCTTGGCTTATAGGGATATCACTGTAACTAACTGAGCTACCCAGCCAGGACCTGGAACTTGTTCTTTGTCTGATATGCTTCTTATCAGGGGCACTGCTGCTTGGCTGGAGGGAACCAGGTTGGAAGGGGTAAATAAATATACACAGCCAGCCAGTTCAGCTGGGTGGCATTCATAAGGAGGGTTCTTTTTGGAAGCCAGGACACCAAGGGTGGCTGTGAACAAATTGCAGGCCAGTAAGTAGGGCAGTCTGGTGAAGAGTGGGTGAGCTTTGCTTTTGAATTTAGTTTTCCAGATATTCTTCTTTAGTCCTAAAGCAAGGACCCATAAACGGGCTTGAGGCCCCTAAAAAGTACCAGCTGAATCAAAAGTCTGCAGTCATAGGATCAGATGAACAGCTGGGAGGTTGCACCTTCTAATAGTAACATTGAATAGATGCAAAAGCAAAATCCAAGGCTTCATGAGGAGGACTCCTGGACACCCTAAAATAAGGTAAATGAGAAGTGAGCTGAGAGGGTCCAAGTTGAAATCTTTTTGGTTGTTTGGCTGTTGAAACTGTAGATCTGTTCCTTAGAGTACTTCTAAATCCAACACCCTAGGGTTCTAAAACGATAAGAAAAAAATGCAAATGAACCCTGTTTAAGATTTTTGTGGAGTGAATCAGAAGAGTGTCTAACAGTTTCTCAACCCTCAGGGAAGAGTCTGGAGTTCACCTACGAGACTAGTTTATAGAACTCACCGAGTCTACAATATATAACTGGATTCTGGATCAAACAGATATTTGGCAAGCTTGGGAGTAGCTCATATGGTCACCTTCTTTAGAATGTAGATTTCATGAATCCATTTCAAATTTATAACAACATGTTTATAATTTATCAGGAAATAATTATAGGTGGTCCCCAATTCCAAAAGGGTTCTGTTATTTTAAAAGTTCATGATAATTTGAAACTGGAAGTATATTCCCCAAAGAAATAGTTTTGGGAATGGTGGTAAAGTTTAGCCCCCAAATTATATTAACCACTAGTGTTCTGGCCTCCCCTTCTCCCTTCCCAGGTGAGTATTTCCTCTCAGCACTTTTTTGGGCTGAGGCAGGAGAGTTGGCCAGGGTGAGGTTGAGCACCAGGATATCAAGATGAGCAAATCAACTGGGTCTGAGGCAGCAGAGTTTGTGGAAAGGGTGAGGTGACTAAAGAAGAATGAGGAAATTGGGGGCTGGGCTTGCTGTGAGAAAGACTAAAGCATTGGGAGTGATAAGGAGAAAGGAAGGGCTGGATCATTGCCATTTAGTAAGCAATGGATTTTCCTTCCCTTCTTTTCTTATTATTCTTGTCCCTTCCCCTTTCCCCTCCCCATTCTCCTATGCTAACTGCATGATACTGCTAATTGAGTTTCTGCCCCCCAGTCATCAGTGAGTAAAAGAAACTGGGAAGGGCTGGATGAGTGAGGAGTGGCATTGGGAAACCCCTTAGTGGGGAAAGAAGACCAGCCAAATCTGAAGGTGAGGGAGGATGAAAGGGAGTTCCTATGGCTGTAGAAACAGTAGCTCTTACGTGTTCCCAATTAGACCATCATTGGGTCACTGCTCTGGAAGCCACAGGGTTCTCAAATCGGGTGTGTTTTGGGTACAATTATGAGCTCTCTTTCCCAGAAGGTTTTAGGCATTATAAATCTAAAACAACTAGCCAGCAACAGTCCTTTTTTCCTTACTATATGCAGGTGATGAGTGCTCCGTTACTCCTTAAGTAATCAAACTATTACTTAAGAAGTTTGATTTTCATAAGGAAGTTCCAAAGATCTGAGCCTTTATTAAAGAGTTACAGACAAATCAGCAAAATAATAGTGTCCAAATGTTGGAATTTTCCTCTCAAAATTGTAGCAGATTTCTTAATTCTATAACCAATAAAAATTTTCCCTGGAAACATCTCAGGTTTTTCCTCTGTGATTTTAGTTTGTTCTTACTGTAAGCACTTCAGAGAAAATGTATGGGAATTGGGTTTTCCTAGGTAACCTAGTAAGCCCTCAATTTATTTATTCCAAAATACTGACCATACGTCAAGCAGTGTGCATTAAAAGGAGAAAGGGGTGCCTATTCTGGTCAGTGAGGCGGCAGACAATTATAGATAACATGGTTTTATTAATCCAAGCTTTGTCTGAGTTGTACCCCAAGTAGGATAATAAAGATGACTTTACAGAGGTACCCAAGCTTGTAAAATGGACAACACCTGATTTGGCATTTCCAGGTCATTTTGTAACCTTGATAAGAGCAATTTTGTTGGTGCTCTGAGCAAAGAAACCAGATTGCAGACTGAGGAGGACTGAGAAGAGAGGAAGTAGAATCAGAAAATGTGAATTGCTGTCCCTTGAAACTTTGCCCAGAAGTTTCCATCACTCAAAGGTTTGAATTTATCTTTTGGTTTTCCTCAAGCACCAGAAGTCAAAATAAAACAAACATCAGAATCATTGTTTTTAATTAATCAGTAGCCCTCTTCTCTGATGAAGGACAAGTACTAAATTTTTTATTTGTTTGTTTGTTTTTTCACCATTTTAAACACAAAACTGTGCTTAAAGAGCTGCCAAAAGGATTTTTGCCTCAAATCCCATTATAGGATTTATGTTATAAATTATTAGACCTGGTCTAGAAGATATCTCTCTTGGGTTGCATTTACCATCTGGTGGTATTGTTGAATTTTAATAATGATTAAAGTATAAATTAATAGCCCTAATGAGCCTTTCCATATTGTCATAACACCAATAAGATTATGCATAGAGGGTGGGATTGGGATTCGTATATCTTAACAGTAGCCCTTTCCTGTGAGCTATTTTCAGCATCAGCTCAGGAAATATCAAAAATTTGTATGACTCTTTAATTCTATGTTTCTTGTGTTGGAATCATAGCCACACAGTTTTGGCAAATATGTTTATGTACTTACCCTACATTTTAAACTGCAACTAGGAGCGTTTGATTTTATTTCTTGGCAATAAAGCTTTTCTTTTTTCCTTTTAAATAAGTATTGGTAAGTAGTTGAATTGCAGTATTTTGTCCAGCTCTATTCCTTTGGTCTAATTTCCTGTCAAAACATGTAAGTGATATTGTATCGGATAGATATGCTTTAATGTGACAGAATGTCACTATTTTTAAAGGTGTATTTTCAGTTAGTAATGAAAGAACAAATATCCAACATTGCGATTGTGTGTACACA